GAGAGGACTAAACACATTGAGATCGACTGTCACTTTGTCAGAGAAAAAAATACTTTCAGGAGATATTGTTACAAAGTTTGTAAAGTCGAATGATCAACTAGCAGATATTTTCACTAAGTCTCTTACTGGTTCTCGTATTAGTTACATGTGTAACAAACTCGGTAAATATAATGTGTATGCACCGGCTTGAGGGGAAGTGTTAGATATGTACATAATGTAGTCTTGTCCCACATTGAAATAGGAGTAGTATGTCATTGTATAGTATAGCTATAAATAAGGACCTCTTGTATTGTATTGAACACACAATATCAATATATCATATTTTCTCCCGTGCCTTCTCACAAAGTCAATGACAGTTACTTCCTTAACTGGAAGTAATTTTGCCGTTAGATGCGACAATCAAATTTATTAAAGAGTAAAACTGGATGCCACTGCATTTTTCGGTCATCTCACAAGAAGGTATTATCCCTTTCTTTAAGACGAAGAAGATGCCAGAGGAATGGAGGTGGAGTATGATGATTCCGTTGTACAAAAACAAAGGTGATATCCAGAACTGTAACAACTATAGGGGTATCAAGTTGCTTAGTCATACGATGAAAGTGGGGAGAGGGTGGAGGAGGCAAGGATGAGGAGGTCGGCGTCTATATCTGAGAACCAATTCGGATTCATGCCGAGTCGTTCAACTACGGAAGCTATTCATCTTATCTGAAGGTTGGTGGAACAGTACAGGGATAGGAGGAAGGATTTGCACATGGTGTTTATTGACCTAGAGAAAGCGTACGACAAGGTCTCTAGGGAGGTTCTTTGGAGATGCTTGGAGGTAAAAGGTGTCCCGGTAGCATACATTAGTGTGACTAAGGACATGTATGATGGAGTCAAGACTCAGGTTAGGACAGTAGGAGAAGACTCGGAGCATTTTCCGATGGTTATGGGGTTACACCAAGGATCTGTGCTCAGCCCTTTCTAATTTGCTCTGGCAATGGACGCACTAACGCACCATATTCAAGAGTAGGTGCCATGGTGTATGTTATTTGCTGATGATATAGTTCTGATAGATGAGACGTGAGGAGGTATTGACGAGAGACTGGAGGTTTGGAGACAGACCCTTGAGTCAAACGGTTTCAAGTTGAGCAGGACTAAGACGGAGTACTTGGAGTGCAAGTTCATCGATGTTACGGAGGAAGTGGACAGCGACGTGAGGCTTGATTCACAAGTCATCCCTAAGAAAGGAAGTTTTAAGTACCTTGGGTCGATTATCCAGGGGAACAGGGAGATCGACGATGATGTCGTGCACCGTATAAGGGCAGGTTGGATGAAATGGAGGTTAGCATCTTGCATTTTGTGTGACAAAAAGGTGCCCCCGAAACTTAAAGACATGTTCTACAGAGTGGTGGTTAGACCGGCAATGTTGTATGGGTCAAAATGTTGGCCAGTTAAGATTGCCCATATCCAGAAGATGAAAGTAGTAGAGATGAGGATGTTGAAATGGATGTGCGGGCACACGAGGTTGGATAAGATTAGGAATGAAGATATTCGAGCAAGGGTGGGCGTGGCTCCCATGAAGGACAAAATGCGGGAAGTGAGGCTTAGATGGTTCTGGCACGTGCAGAGGAGAAGCCTAGATGCCCCGGTTAGGAGGTGCGAGCGGTTGGCGCTCTGACGGGTATGAGGAGAGGTAGAGGGCAGCCAAAGAAGTATTGGGGAGAGGTGATCAGGCAGGACATGACGCAACTTCAGCTCACCGAAGACATGGCCCTTGATAGGAAGGTATGGAGGGAGAGTTTTTGAAGGTTAGTAGGTAGTTGAGCGTTTTTCTACTCCGTTCTGTGTGTAAGTATAGTCGGTCAGTGTCGTGTTTTAGTATGCCAGTGGTACATGTTATGCTCGTACTATTTTCTAGGATCTTGTCACTACATTGATTATTGATATTGCTATTCCAGGTATATTTCCTGACTCTTGGCTCGCTGGTACTATCTTTCTGGTTATGTTATTGTTACTATTCTATTGTCGCATTTCATCTTCTTGTGCCGAGGGTCTATTTGGAAACAGCCTCCCTACCCTAGGGTAGGGGTAAGGTCTGCGTACACACTACCCTTCCCAGACCCCACTTGTGGGATTATACTGGGCCGTTGTTGTTGTTGTTGTTGNTTTAGGAGTTGTTTCTTAACTAGATGAAGGATCAATTTGGCAACAGAGGACTATTTGCGTTACTGGGTGCATGTTGGATCATCAACATTCATCAGAACAACAGAGTGCTTTCATTTCTGCATAAGTTATTTCTCTTCTACATTCTACAAAGCTTCCAGAGGCAAGAAACTTTCATGACTATATCAACACTATAACTGAAACCATTGTTCATTCTCTCCTCTCTCTCTCAAACAGACCATGTTTAGTTGAATATATAACAGCTGCAGCATCAACTACAATGGAAGCATTATAGATTAGACACTTTAACCTACAGAAAGATTATTCAAATCCTGCAACTACCAAAATCAAATCCTAGCATCAGTTAATCACTAAGAAATAAGCAATCAGCCTCCAACAATGAGAATTTGGATCTGTTTGAGAAATTTCTGTGGAGATTATTTGCTATTATGAGAATGTTGATTGGTATGAATAATAATGGTTGTAGTGGTTGAGTCCAAAGGTTTTACTAAATTTCTTTCCTGCCAGCTCAAAGAGATCCAAATTGCAATGGTTGAAAGGAAAGAGACAGCTGTTTAGTGGTTAAGTCCAAGGTAAATCAAAGAATATCAGTTCCCTTTTTCAGGTATTTCTCAAGTGGATAAGCATTTTTCTCATTTAATTGTTTAGTGAGAAGCTTGTTGAAGGCTTGAAGCAAGGAATACACCCATAAGATGGAGAAGAAGATGTAATTACTGAACCATTGCGAAGGTACAGATAAAGTATGGTAAATTGACTTCTTTGATGGGGAAAATCCCTCATCGCTCACACAAACATGTAGATGTTCATTTCCTGTTGTAAATTTTTGACTATATTTATTTATGAATAAATTAAAAGTATGAAAATGATTATTAACCATAGACTTTGGACATGAAAGAACATCCTCCATCAATCTGGTTGATTTCGACATCAATATCAAGATCACAAATCACAAACAAGCTAAGGGAAACATGTGTCATACTACTATACCAACTCCACATTACTCTAACATGAATGCTTCATATAAACAAACATATGGGTTTTTATATACCCTCATGCAGCATTATAGGTCCTAAGTTCTTCTAGTACCAGAAGGAAAAGACAATTAGGAGAATAACGTGAGATGCCAACTCATTTCACTCCAGTGCCCGCAATTATTTACGGGGTATTTTATATTTGGTTTCCATTTAAGCAAGTTCACTATTCGAAACTTAAGACGATTATCAAAGAAATAAGTGAATACCTCCTTGTTTTTTAACTCCGCCAAGGATGACTCTAGTTGTCGATGATAATTGGTATAACCACATATTAGTGCAGAACCTCTTGGACCCATTCTATGCCTTTGAACTGCCTGAACACAAAAATTATAACAAATTAGCTAATGGGGAGCATTTAGTATCAGCCAAAAAAATCATCAATATATGAAAAGTTGAAGAGGCATAATGCCTGTGTTGCAGCCTTGATAATTGTAGGATGCGAACTCAAGCCCAGGTAATCATTTCCAGAGAATAAAATTAACGTCTTGAATGTTCCAGCACTTGCCCCTACTTCAGTATCCACCACACCGTTGCAACCAACCTCATCTCCTACAAGGGAATTTTAATGAAAATAGTGAAGACAACATTTCAACTTCGTAGAATAACCAACTGAAGAGAATTACAGCATAAGCATTTGTATCATTCTTTTCTGTAACCAGTGGTAGATTCAGTCAGAGGGGCTGCACTTGCTGCAAAAACATATATTTATACTAAATTCAGCCTATGTGGTTAAAATTTACAGTATTCTAACGCTGCTACCTAGGTCGTTATTTCCAAATTTAGCAACAAAAAAACGAAACTTTTCGCAAGTGAAACTACCAACAAGAGAAGACTAAAATTGAAATCGAAAAAAAATGAAAAAAAAAAAAACGAAATGGAGTAAAAATAACCCGCACCGGAACTGGGAATGTCTTGCAACCATTTATGATACGTAGTTTCTGAAATCTGAACTTCCACTGTGTCTCTATCCCATTGGCGTAATTCATCGAAAAATTCGAAGTCGTCGGCATTAGAATGGCTTAACGAGTTTGAATCCTTGGATAGATGAATGGGTCTAACAGAACGAAGGAGTTTATGCGACTCCAGTTTCTGCAGTGCCAACTCAACCCATTCGTCCCATGAGTTCATTCTTCCTTCGCCGGCGAACAATGGCAGCGGCAGTCGTACTGAACCCCGACCCGATAGGGAAATCACTAGCTGTTGGTTTTTGTGAAATGTTTGTGGTGGAATGGTATTTTATTCTTCTTTTTTTCTGGATAATTTTATTCAGCTTGATTATACTGATTACACGAATTAAAAACTTAAAATGTTAAGTACTACTTAACTCATTTGCTTGTGAAACTCTTTTTAAGTTCTTGCCGCGAAAACAAATTCTAAATTTAGGAAATGATTTTTCTCTAAGGGTGTGTTTGCTATAATGGAAAATGTTTTCCGTGGAAAATGTTTTCCAAGAAAATGTTTTTCCGTCGAAAATGTTTTCCAAGAAAATATTTTATTGGAAAACAAATAGTAATCTTATTCATTTTTCGGTGTTTGGTATGCAAATTAAGGAAAACAACTTCTCAAGAGTATTCATAAATAATTTAGATATAATAAACATGAATGCATAAACTTCAAACCAACAACCTTCCGCACCGGCGGCCTTTCCATAAAGCAAGTAAAGCAACTATGTTAGGCCCCACATTTGTGGAGGCCCAATTTTTTGTTACACATAATAGGCTATGTATAAGTGTAGAAAAAGGTTATGTGAAGTGAAAAAGCTTGATTTCTTTCTTTAACAATTATTGAGAATAATGATTTGCAACTGCTATGATTCCTGCCACGAATATTGCACTTGAAATGAATATTGAACCCAAATTTCGTAAGATTATAGGAAGTAACAATTTGATGAGAATGTTGATAATAAAATCTCATAATCTTTCGAATAGTCCTTTGGTTGATTACTTTATACATAGTAAACAAGGCTATTTTTTTCACTTCAAAATAGATTTGAACAATTCGAAGCGTATGAAAATATTTTGGTTTACTATTTAGCTGTAAAAATTAAGATCACTAGATGATGGAAATTTGGAAAAATATTGCCTCAATCTTGAATGTTCCTTAAAGCATAATAATTTTCGATATCTAGTTTAGATTTATTTTCGAAATTAAAAATATTAAGAAAAATAGTACAATTAGAAGATAACAATTTAATTGATACACTCGGTCAAATAAAAAGATCTGATTCTTTTTTTCAATGTATATATTAATTATGGAATAATGTTAATTAATCTTGTTACCCTCGCTTCAACGGAAAGAAATTTTCAAAATTAAAATTGATAAAATCTTACCTAAGATTAACAATGTCTCAAGAAAGGTTAAATGGATTAGTTATATTGTCAATTAAGAAAGATTTATTAGGAGTTATTGATTATAAGAAAATTATTAACAACTTTGTACTTAAGAAACGCTAGAAAAAATAGACTTTAAATAAATAAATATTTTTTTAAAAGTTAAGGCCCCTCATAAAGTTTGGCTTTAGGCCACAAAACCCGTCGGGCCGCCCCTGTCTGCACCCACAAATTTCATAAACTTTCGAATTGCTAAACTTTCGAAATCGCAGAATTTGAAACCCGTAAACTTTATAATTCTAAACCTGTAAACTTCCAGTCACATAAACCTCTGAACTCATAACTTTAGAACTTGTAAAATTTTAAAACTTTAAACCAATAAATAAAAAAACTAAAACTAAAAAATATATTTTAAAAATATTTTTTTGGAGGGGGGGCAGAAAAACGAAAAAATAGAAATCTGAAATTACAAAAAAAAGGTAAAAAAAAAATGTACGNATTTTTGCAGGAAGGGGGTGGGGGTGGGGGTAGTAGGGTGAGTGGTAACAAAAAAACTGAAATTTGAAAAACAAATGCCTTTTTTGGAGAGAAGGGTGGGGTAGGTTGGTGAGGGTGGGGAAGGTTGAGAAGGAGTTTTGGAAAATGTTTTCCCTTCTCTTGGTAAGGAAAACATTTTACTCCAATTGGAGAAAATGAGTTCATAAGGAAAATGTTTTCCAAAACATTCAAGCCAATCAAACATGGGAAAATTGGAAAATATTTTTCAGAAAATATTTTCCTTCATACCAAACACACCCTAAGAAAATATATTTTAGTGTTTAGTTATTTAAGTTGTGAAGATATTCTCCGATGAAAATATTTTTCACCTAACGGAGAAAATATTTGAACTCTTATATGGGAAGGCCTTTATTTTAGAAGTATCCGAGTAGTTATGTTGTGTCATTGCCCATAGATAATATTTGGAAAAAAAGTTTAACAAATATTGGGTCTACTTTTTTAACTTCAAGTTGTACTAGATGATTAAAAATTTAATAAACTAGTTTGAGGACATTTTAAGTGAAAATGGTTTTTATCACTTCAAATAAAGATCCCAATAAAGAAACATAAAACTTTAACTTTTTCCCCAATTGAATTCACTTTCAAATATTTTTATTTTTTTTGGTAATTAACTGAACTTTTTATTAATTACCACTTGTAATCTTTACAATACCATAGCCAAGCTCGCACATCTTGCTATCTATAGAGAAAAAAAGTATACAAATCAAAACTATCTCATAAGCTACTACTTAGAATATAAATTTGTCTAAAAGTATTTGAATTCTAGTGGGCTTGTACACAGCAGCTATACGCAATCTCCTTTGCATTTTGATCTCATCCTTTCCTCTTATTCTCAAACACTCTTTGATTCTCTCCATTCAAACTGCATAGACACTCTCAGCATATACCACCCTGAATATTTGAGCAGCCTTTGATTTGCCTTTTGGCATGCTAATGATCCAATCTAAATGTTGTTCCCAGGTTCCTACCTGCATGTGATCATATTGTATCCATCTCATATGTTCCTTCCACAATTGTTTTGTGTAATCACATTGCACAAATAAGTGATCTCTCAACTCATTACAATTTGGGCATAGGACAAAACATGAATCCATTTGTAGTCCTTATCAAAGCAATCGATCAGTTGTTAATAGCTTTCCTTGTAATTGCAGCCACGTAATAAATCTGGTCGTTGGTCTTGCATCATTATTAAATACTAAGCATTTTCATGGTACTCTGGTATAATCTCCCAATAGCTGCATAACGTTTACCGGGAGGGAAAATATATTGAAGTTGTTGTAAGTTCCCCGCAGCATGCAAAATTTGCCTCATCATCTAACAGGCATGTGGTGGTACTCGAATTTCATTGAGTTGTTGTCTCTTGATGTAATATTCATGAATCCACTTCATCCATAGTCTTTCTTGTTTACGAGCTAAGTCCCACTAGGATTTAGTTATAACTGCTTTGTTACATAGTTGGATATTTGTTATATTCAAATCACCTGCAACTTTATGTACGCATACTCTATCACAAATTATTAGAGTTTTTTTGGTTAGTTGATTATCACCAGACTACAAATAACTCCTACAATAGGCATTTATTAGTTTGATCACTTTCATGGGCAAGGTGAAAAGTTGTGCCCAGTATGCTTGTATAACAAATAATACATACTGGATTAACTGAGCTCTTCCAGCATATAGTCTTTTTGTTGTCCATAAGGAGATTCTAACAGTGATTTTTCCCCCCAATGGTTGCCATTGGAGCAATGTGAGTTTTTTTAGTTGACGATGGGATCCTCAAGTACTTAAATGGTAATTCTCCCTGCACAAATCCAGTTGTTTCAAAATGTCATTTTTGGTCTGTTGTGTGATACCCCAAAATAGACTGAACTCTTTCCCATGTTTGCTTGCAACCCTGAGGCATTTGAAAAGTCCAGAAAGCATTATTGCATAGCAGAGATAGACATCAAATCACTTCTTGTGAATAGGAGCAGGTCATATGCAAAAACTCAAACGAGTTATTCCTAGCTTAGCACATTTGGGATGAAATTTGAACTGCTTGTTTTCTTTAAGTACATTGAGGCTCCTACTCAAGTATTTCATTGCATTTGCAAATAAAAATGGAAACATAAGATCTCCTTGCCTCAGCCCCTTAGCGACAGAAAAAAACTCTGTAGTTTTTCCATTTTTCAAGATAATGTAATTGATTGTTTGCACACATTCCATAATCCATGATATAAACCTTGATGGAAATTCCAATCCTTCCAGAACTTGCGTCAGGGAGATCCATTTCACAGAGTCATAAGCTTTCTGGAAGTCTATTTTATTCATGCATCTTGGAGATATATTCTTTCTAGTATAGGATTTCACCAATTCATAAACTAAACTGATGTTGTCAGCTATTCTCCTCCCAGATATAAAACCAACATGTGCTTCACAAATGAGACCTACAATTACCTTTTGGATTATATAAGCTAGAATCTTGGAGATCAATTTATAGAGGATAGAGAAACAAGTTATTGACCGAAATTCCTTCACTGTGGTTGGGTTAGAAACTTTAGGTATTAAAGTTACACTAGTGCAGTTCACAACCTTCATCAATTTACTAGTGGCGAAGAACTCATTCACTGCATCTGTTACTTCATCTTTGACTATGTGCCAATCCTTTTAAAAAAAATATAATATTATAACCATAACTCCAGATGTCTTATAACCATCGAAGATTCATTTTTTACAAACGTTTTTTATCGATATGGACCAAGCCCCATCTTCCTTCTAGCTTTGGCTCGGAAGAGGTCGGCCTTTGAGCCCATGTTGAAAAGGGATCTTGATTTTTTTTATTATAAAAGAAACCCCAATAGTTATGTCTTATTCCTGAGGAAATATTTGATCTCCCTAGCCTATGGACTTCTTGCAAAGGCTCCTTATTTATAGAATGGTTAATGTGTTAAAGGATAACTTAAATACTGCAGTTGGTTTGGAATTAGACTACCTTAATATCAGACATCAAAGACAGCACAGAATTCAAGTGCAAGACTTGAGTGATAATGCTATAGAACATATTCTTCTTGGCAAGGCAAATAACCTTTGCCAAGGTTCCGAATGAAAGATAGATCTAAACTTACATAACCACTATACTCATCCCTCTTGTATGTATATAAGTTTTTAGATGAAAATAGAGGATTATGATACCTTAGGAGCATGTCAGAAAGATGGGTACGCGAAGTGAGTAATGGTTAAATTCTCTGTCACAAATCCTCCGAAGGGAGAGTGCACACTGCTTTAAATATCCTTTTCAATACCAATTTCAAACACTTTTTTTTTTATTGTAGAAAAAACAACCAAATATTTTTTATCTTTTACAATGAAAAAATATTTTAAACACCATCCTCATATTTTATCCTACATCTTGTAATGTTATTGTATCTACTTGTTACAAACACCAACATGCTGATATGTTAACAACTTATTTGGATGGTTATTACATGTTGTATTGTATTGTAGTGTATTGTTACTTTAAATACTATGTTTGTTTTGATTATTATTTAAATTTTATTGTATCGTATTGATAAATTCGTCATTACGTAACGACGAAAAGCGTCACTTTATGGAACGATCGATTTGGTGTAGTCGCGTCGTTACCTTATTCTTTTTCTCATCCTGCCCTTTTTATTATTAAATAATCATACTTTATCATTTACCCTACCTTTCTATATAACAATATTACCTAGTACCTTACTTTTTCTTTATAATATTACAAATTTATTCTTCATATTATTGGTGCACGCACCATGAAATGACAACAAACAATACAATCAATCCAAACATTGTATACATCAAAACGATATAGTACAATACAATGCAATATTTTATGATACATTATGAAACGATACATAACAACTATTCAAATAAATTGTAAGTGTTTATAAATTAAAACGAATCAAAAGTCATAAGTTGACTTACAAGCACTTTTAGTTTGACTAAATACTTTACTATTTCATCTCTAATATCTTTTTAAATTCTCCAAATACTCTTACCATAGCAATATTAATCATTTTTATAATAAATATTTATTAGCATTTTATTACCAAACAAATCAACTACATATAATACCTTGGTAATAATATATATGAAGCCACGAGTTTAAGGACTTTGTGATTCCACCAATTAAGAAGTAGCATTCAACCCAAAATATATGATACATATTTTTACAAGTATGATATCACTAAATCATAATTAATTAATATGCATTCTCAATTTTATTTATCACTTAACTATTAGAGATAAGTTTGAATTGGTGTAAACATTACCAGCTAGTGTTTTTTGGCTCCCAATTACCAACTAGTGCGTTGTAGCGTATGACAAAATAAATGTATGGGGTGTGAATTGATAAAGGTATAAACATAACGGGCCAAGTTGAAGATACGGTAATTGGGCGCAATACTAGCCCCGTAAGGACACGGAAAGCACCGTGAGTCGTCGACTTCCGACTTCCAACAGGAAAGGTGAGAAGTCTTTATAACTCAGTTCTCGGAATTCCGATACCTGTGAAAGTGGAGGGTGGAGAAAATGGTACTGTCGCAGAAGATTCACGAAGCATTCAAGGGCACAGTGGAGAGAATCACAAGCCCTCGCACCGTTTCTGCTTTCAAAGAGAAAGGCGTTCTCAGCATCAATGAGTTCATCATCGCCGGCGATAATCTCGTCTCCAAATGCCCTACTTGGTCTTGGTAAACCCTTCACTTCGTTTTCCCCTTCAACTTTAGCATCAATTGCTCAGTTTATAAGTCAAAGAGAAAAAAAAGGTGAAAAAAGAGATTATGAGAAAGCGGAAGAGAAGCCAGATTTTATCGTCTAATTTCTATGCATAAGCTCCAATTCATGCTCTAAACTTATGTGAGATGGAATTAGATCAGTATACGTGTATATGATGGTACAATTAATATAAAATTTGGTGTGTATATATAGTCAGTGGACATTACTGGTAGGATGAGCTGACTTATTGTCGGAGATGGATCCAGGCTAAAAGCCCGTGGTTCCAGAGTACAGCTGCGGACTTGATGTAGATATATTATTGAAAAAGGTTTACCTAGATATATAATTATAGTCAAAAGTAGTTAGTGTCCCGCACTTGCTGCTATAAGAGGTGGATTTGCCCCTGCTTCTTGTTGTCAAATTCAAAAACTGTATTGCTGAGCAGTTATGTTTTTCTTTTGAGTTTTGACTTACTGTTTACCATATGACTGCTCTTTCTTTCATATCTGGTATTGATTATCAACGAGCTAAGATGATTGATGCCCACTATTATTAGTTATGTCGTCTGAAATGATGAATTTACTGACTAGAGACTATTGTTATCTCTCATGCTTTAGGTTTCCTAGTTTTCAGTCTTTAGGGTGTTGTCTACTTTTGCTTGTTCTACATTGATTCTCGGCTTCTGATGCATATTATTATGCTTTGAAGATGAAAAATTTGTTTGCTTTCTAGGATTTTGTTTAAGCATGGGTCAATGTAGTATTATTGCTATATGTTACTCGTGTCACCCTTCAATTGTTCATTGACAGGGAATCAGGTGAACCTAGCAAGAGGAAGTCATATTTACCTGCTGACAAGCAATTCTTGATAACTAGAAATGGTACTTATCATATAACTCCTCCACTCTTCATAGCATTCAATACATTTGGGTTGACATGAGCTAGCTAACTTATGTGCTCATGATGATTTCATTTTTTATCCACAATTAGCTAGAGTATTAATTTTCACTTCTTTATTATAGGAAGTAGCAGAGTTGATTTTGAAAAGCTAAATTAGGTGTTAGAAGTACTTTAAATAACTGAGAAATTAGTTCTGATAGAATTGCCAAGTATTTTCTGCGTGTTGCTTGGTCTAAACACAGTTGATGTACCCATTTAACTGTTGGAACAAATATTATCTTCCCGTTTCACACCTACTACATCATCAAATTCTGGAACGTCAAGAATTACACAAATTAAACTTTCTTATCATGCTAGTTTGAGTAGACCTTTTCTGATATTCACTTGCTCTTAAACGTCCTCTTATCTTCTTTTTGGAATGCCTAGAATGGAAGAGTTTTATCATTCACCAGTAAGTTACGTGCCAATTTAACTTTTATCGCAGTTCCTTGCTTGAGGAGAGCTGCATCAGTAGAGGAAGAATATGAAGCTGCTGGAGGTGAAGTTCTGCTTGATAATGAGGAAAATGATGGCTGGCTTGCCACACATGGGAAACCTAAAGGTATTCTTCATAACTGTGTGTCTAACAACAAATTGCATTAATCTTTCATTGTGACATTTGTCCCATTTGTTTCGTAGAAAGCAAAAGTGACGAGGATGACAATTTGCCATCAATGGAAACATTAGAAATTAGCAAAAGGAATACTATCCAGTCAATCTCCTCATACTTTGGAGGTGAGGAGGAGGAAGATATTCCAGACATGGGAGAGTACGATGAACCTGACAATCTCATTGAAACGGATCCTGTATGTGCTGAATCTCCGTGTGGTTTCCTTTTCTTTTTCCCCTTGTTACCTGCTCTTCTAAAAGTGTGTGATTTGTGGTTAATCTCTCCTATCTTCAGTTTCACCCTGCTGCAATTTCTTGTATTTTATCTCCAAAAGGCCTTTACAGAGTTTTTGCATCTATTTGCTGTTGTCTTTCTTTTTAATCAGACAAATGAATTGTTTTATATTACAAAAAAATGATCTATTCACCTGGTTGTAACTGTTCACACTCATCAAGTAAATTGCATGATGGTAACAAGATTGTTTTTGATAACGGTTTTGCTCGACTCTAGCGGGAGTTCATATAAGAAGAATATGCATGCATTTGTTGGACCACTAGTTACGGGTGTCATCAGTGTCGGAGGCAGAATTTCCGCTAAGGGGGTTCAAAAAAGAAAAGGTTAAAAAATTAAAAGATACTGTGGCCAGTGGGAATTGAACCAACAACCTCACAATGGATTTTGACCCCCCTTGTCTACTGAGCTATGCATTTGGGCCGTGCCAAGGGGATTCAAAATATAATATATAGAGACACAAAACAGTTTTTGCCATATATAGACAGTGTAATTTTCCGGCGAAGGGGTTCGGGCGAACCCCCTTCTACCCCCCTAAATCCGCCCCTGGTGTCATAGTGCTAGAATTTGTGGGACTCGCTACATGCATATATATAAAATAATATGAATTGAAGCAACATTACAAAGATTAGGAATTTTTTTCCCACTATAACAAAAAAGAGATGGAAATGGGAGATGGTGGGTAAAAGTCAGAAATGTAGCCATGTAGGTGTAGTGAAGAGACGAAAATGCCCCTTGGTTGCTGATATTAATAGTGCAAACACAATGACCAGTCTGGGTTCTAGCTTTTGTGTCATGCACAGTTGGTTAGCAATGGCCGACCTACATGAAGAATCATGGGTGTTCACGCGTCCATTGTAGTTGATCAGATTTGATATGCTTACATAGGCAATGAGGAACAAGTACCATAAAATTCAGTGAGCACCCTTAAATATAAAAGACAAATAGGTCCACTTGGAAGCAGGTGATCTGCCATACATTGTGGTGCAGGATCATTTCCTGCTTTGAAAAATTTCAACTGAGTGCTGTTTTTTTCTCTTTTCCTTTCATTTTTCTTTATTTGCTTTCTTATTATCCAATTTTTCCTTATTTGCTTTCTGTTTTACTTTCGTTTTTCTCTTTTTACCTTTTTTCTCTAATCCCCCAAACCCTCGTTCTCAAACTAGAACTCTTTTCTTTCCTTTTCTATTTTCCGTTCTTAATTCCTCTTACCTTTTGTATTTCTTCCTTTTCCAATCTCATTTTCCCCCAAACAAACGAAATTTTCTCTTCCCTCACAACACAACATAACTTCTTTTCCACTCCTCTTTTGGAGCTCCTTCCAACAAGCACTCACGACTATAAAATCTTGGGTTTGCTGCTTCTGGTTAGTTTAAGGAATTGAGGTTTTATTTGTACTATAGATGATCACATTACCAACCAAATGGGTCTTATAACTTTCATGGCAAAAGTTGAATGTGTAACTAACTAGGATATTCTTGGAAAAGATCTGTTATGAAAGTCTCTGAACAGCTAAGGATACTACTCTACAACATACAAGTACAAATGATTATGAAAGTGTTGTGGAGATCATACAGGTTACTCAAAAACCTTCTGTATCTATTTGCTTGTATGAGGGCCTGTGCGGGCTTATGAGATTATATAATAAGTTTATGGTTTTCTGCCGTTAATATGTTCTGGAAAAAGATCTGTTCAAAGCTAACGGTGTTGTTTTAAAAAAAAAAAATTTAACAGATAAGGTTACTATTCAAGAGCGTACAAGTACAATTGCAATGAGAGTGTATTGGTATGCACTTGATTGTTTTTTCCCAAACCTTTTGCATCTCCTTTGTCTGTGTAAGAACCCATGCACGTATATGCATTAATAAATAAGTTAATGGTTTAAAAGGAAGGCTTGAAGAGCCAGATAATTTATTTTATGTTGCTGTAACTTTGTTGGTGTGAAAAGAAGGGTCACAAGTCCTTTGGCTATTTTTAATGAATTAATCTTATCCTCCCCGAGGGAAAGAAAGTTGTTGGGGTTTTTTTTTGGGGTGGGGCTGGGGTGGGGTTCTTTCTGAAGTTGAAATCTTTTTTATGAGTAAACAACATTTCCTTGGGTCGGAAATCATTTTTAATTATTTCGGTACCAAAAGATAAAATATATTGTCTTATATATTTGTTCAAGTTTTGAGCTCTTTATTTAAAACAAAAAAATTATATATATATATATATATATATATATATATATATATATATATATATCCAAAAATACTATAATCTAGAGCATTCTTTTGTTTATGGAATTTTTTTTAGTCATCTATTCTTCTTACTCAACAAGTAGTATTTTACTTAAATACTACCTATTGTGATCCTTTTTGTCCTCTCTGAATCAAATCATTTTATTCGTGTATTTTCAGTTATGATTAAATCCATACAGTCAATCCTCTGTATTCAGCTATTCTTGCTGAATTTTGTTGTTTCCTTTGTTTATTTTTTCAGCATCATTGTTTCTTCTCTTGTCAACTCATGAGCCTTTTATATTAGAATTCTACAATAGAAACTTTCTTTTGAAGTCATCCAGATTTAGTTACCTGGCAGAACTACAAAGGAAAACTCTATAGTAGTAAAAGGCTTGAGTGAATTTTTTTTTATTGAGGGACAAACACGAGGGTTGTGTGAAATTGAGCGAGTGTAAACACGTGAGGGAGTGTTGTGAGGCCCTAATTTTTTTTTGTATAAGCATGTCACATGCAGGTAATGGTAGTGAAAGCACAGGAAGTGTAAATGCCAATCCAGATATATTGGTTGCCATTCAAGCGATGCAACGAGAATTTTCAAGGATGAGCATGAGATTAGATAATATGCAAGAGAGGCTGGAAGAAAATGAAAATAGGAGAAGAGTCCTAGGGAACGAAAGGAGGCAAGAACAACCACGTGCACAACCACGGGTTGGTGAAGAACACTTCAATGGCATTGAAGAAGATAGTGATAATGACTATATTGATATGGGAAGACATGGTCAAAGAGGGGGTAGAAGAGGAAGACCGCAAAGAGGACTTAGGAATGAAGAAGGGGTTGATAGGAATTTGGGTAGTATTAAGATGAGCATCCCTTCCTTTCAAGGGAAGAGTGATCCGGATGCCTATCTAGACTGGGAAAGAAAGGTCGAGAAGGTGTTTGATTGCCATAATTACTCGGAGCAGAAGACGGTAAAATTAGCAATTACTGAATTCACCGATTATGCTTCAACATGGTGGGATAAGATAGTGGTGAATAGGAGGAAAAATTTGGAAAGACCAGTTTCTTCTTGGGAAGAGATGAAGGCTATTATGAGGAAACGATTTGTTCCCTCACATTACTATAGAGATTTTCATAGGAAGCTTCAAACCTTATACCAAGGTACAAAAGGTGTTGAGGAATATTACCAAGAGATGGAGATGTCTATGATTAGAGCCAACATTGAAGAAGACCGCGAGGCAACGATGCAAAGGTTCATTAATGGATTGAATAGAGAAATTGCAAATGTTGCAAACTTACAACATTATGTGGAGATGGAGGAACTTGTGCACATGGCTATAAAAGTAAAAGGCAGCTCAAGTTCAAGGGTCGAAACAAACAGCCTATTCCTAGTCCAAGTTGGGAAAAATCGAAGGATACAGGCAACACTTCTTGGAGGGGAAATTGGAGTAAGCCAAGAGATGATAGAGCTGTCCAAAGGCCTAAAGAAGACAAAATCAAGGAAAACAAAGCTCAAGGTACTAGTTCATTCCCTACTAATACTAGAAACAGAGATACTAAATGTTTTAAATGTCATGGGGTTGGGCATATTGCTTCTGAATGTTCTAATAGAAGGCCAATGATTTTAAAAACTGATGGGAGCTTTGAGACGGATGTGGAGAGTGATGATGATGATAGTGAAGATGTGGTTGGCGCACCTCACTATGAGGAGGGTAGTGATGTTGAGTCACCTCTAATTGGTGAATTGATGGTGCTAAGGAGAGTCATGAGTTTGCAGATAAAGGAAGATGATGTTCTTGTGCAAAGAGAAAATATCTTTCACACCAGGTGCCAGGTAAGGGAAAAGATTTGTTCCATGATAATTGATGGGGGTAGTTGTACTAATGTAGCAAGCACAACTATGGTTGAGAAATTGGGTTTACATTGCTTAAAACATCTTACTCCTTATAAGTTGCATTGGTTAAATGATAGTGGAGAAGTGAAGGTGAGTAAGCAAGTGATGGTGCCATTTTCCATCGGGAAGTATAGTGATGAAGTACTGTGTGACATTGTGCCTATGCAAGTATGTCATATTTTGCTCGGCCGACCATGACAGTTTGATAGGAAAACAATGCATGATGGTTACAAGAATAGATATTCATTTGAAAAAGATGGAAGGAAGGTGACACTTTCACCTTTAAAAACGAAGCAAGTTTTTGAAGATCAAATGAAGTTGAGAGATTCTCATGGGAATAAGGAAAAAGAAAAAAAAAAGAGCATAAGAAAAAAGAAGAGAAAAAAATAAATGAGGGAGAAAGAAAAGATGATTTTGTGAATATTGAGAGACCCAATGAGTAAGAAAAAAAGAGGGAAGAGAAAATGAAAAACATTTGTGAGGAAAAAGAAGATGAGGTAAAAGAGAGCAAAATAAGCATATATGCAAAATCTAGAGAGTGTATGAGTGCTTACAAATCTAGGTCACACCTTGTGGTTCTTTTGTATAAGGGATCTTATTTGAGCACTATTGAACTAATCATTCCTTTTCCTAGTGTTGCTTCTTCTCTTTTGCAGGAATTTAAGGATATCTTCCCTGAGGATGTTCCAAATAGATTGCCACCAATTCGAGGAATTGAACATCAAATTGATCTCATCCTGGGAGCGTCTATTCCAAATAGGCTAGCTTATCGAAGCAACCCCGAGGAGACA